CACACTCTCTCTCTCTCTCTCTTTATTTCGTTCACTCTATGTGATGCATGCAGCCGGCACACGCGTTCCATCAAAAGGGTCGGCACACACAAATAAAAACAAAAAAATATAAAAAAAATATGTATCATCATAAATATGAGTTGTGAGGGAGGAGGAGAACCAAAGCCCACACACGTACGGGCTTTTGTATGATGCCACTCAGAAGCTTTGAAAATTCACGTTATTACACAACGACCTCCCAGACACACAAACAAACAAGCAAACAAGTTTTCCCAATAATCCGCTAATAACGCCTTCTTGAAATGTATGGAGAAAAGTTCTTTTTTGTCACCTTCCCAACATTTCTTTGCCCTCCTCCCATATATATATATATATATTTTTGTGTTTGTGTATGTGTCAGTTGTGCCCTTTTTGCTCCCTTTCCCCCTCCCCTTTAATCTATGGTCTATATTCACAATTATCCTTCCACGCACGAAAACACACAGAGAGAGGGAGAGCCAGACACATATCATAATAATATGCATAGGCTCACAGATTGATTCTCAGCCATGGAAATACCGTGGAGAGAAACACACCAGCAACAGTCTCCTCCACCTCAACGCCTTGCTCTTTGAAACCAACGGTCTTCGTCATTGGAATCGCTGGAAGATTGGGGAAGGGCACGGCCCATACGTCGGCCACGATTACGTACACGCGGTGCCACAACAACTTCTTCCTCCTCCTCCTTGGAATCATCGTTTTGTGCCGCGACCGGCGGCGGTGGTGCGCGCTTTGAACTTACCCCTTTCTTCGTCGGTCGCCGGACGACTTCTTCTTCTTCCTCGTCTTCATCATTATCTGTGACGGCTGTAGATGGTGGCGGCGGTGGTGATTTCTTCGTCGCATGTCCTTTCTTCGATACTGCCGTGTGCTGCTGTGATTGTGGTTGTGCGTGTACCTCTTCTTCCTTGTTGTCGTCGGCGTCCGAAGCATCATCGTCATCGTCATTGTCGTCTCCGGAGGCCGCTGGAGGAGGAGGTGGCGGTGCACGTTTGCCAGCATGACTCGTCTTCCTCAACGGAGGGGCCCGCTGCTGCACGTGCTGCACATGTTGCCGCGGTGGCTCATCGCCGTCACCCTCGCCATCATATTCCTCGTCCTTCTCCCTCATTTTCTTCGCGTCCTCCGCAGGATGCGCACGGCCCCGGGCTGAGCGTCCCTTCACAGGAGCCGGCGAGGAGTGTCGCCTGCTGTTGCCACTGATTGTGGGAGGCTCACGTGGTGCCTCTTCTTCTTCTTCCTCATCGTCTTCCTCTTCTCCATTACCCGCCTTTTGTTCTTCATCTTCCTCCTCCTCCTCTTCCTCTTCCTCCACCTCTTCATTTTCTTCATCCTCATTAACGGTGTCGGTCTTGTGTTTTGCAGCAGCGCTCTTCTGTTTTCCACCCCTCGCAGGCTTGACTTCTTCTTCTTCCTCCTCCTCATTTTCTTCTTCTTCCACCGCTTCCTCGCCCACGGCATCAACACTATCAGCCTCTTCTTCCTCCTCTTCCTCGTCATCATCGTCGTCCTCCGCTGCGGTAGCTGCCGCCTTTACACCTGCGGCTGCATGGCTGCTGTGGCTACCGGACTTAGAGGATGCGTCCTTTGCGGGGGTGGAGGCCGCTGCAGACGTGCGTCTTGTGGAAGGCTGTTTCTCAGCTTCTTCTTCTTCTTCCTCCTCCTCCTCCTCCGCTTCTGGCAATAGCTGCACAAGTGTGGGTGTGAGAAGCGCTTCCAGATCGTCGCGGTTGGTCAATATGTCGTGCACCACCGAGACACCGAGAGCCTCAATGCTGTCTACGATATCCGAGACACACGTGCAGTCGGCGATGGCGCCTGCCATACCGAGTGGCTCCGCAAGTTGTAGTAGACGCGTCTTCTCTGCTGTTGTAAAGGAACCAGTAATGTCAATGCTAACAATGGAGGTTGTCATGCTCTCCATGCTGTTTGATCCACCACTCCCCCCACTGATAGATGTGGCAAGAATGTGATAGTGCACGACATTAATGCGCGTCATAACTTTCTTTTCCACCACATGCAAAACACCGAGCATCGCCTCGCCAAAGCGGCAGCGAATGTCTTCCTCTCGTACCGTCTCTTTCAGGGAAGTTTCATATAAGTGCAGAGTTGTGCCCATCAACGCCGCCACACTACACCCGGAGTTGTAATCGATGGTTGGGCGAATTGGAGTGAACTTCTTGCCTTTGGTAGAGAAGAACGCCGTGTAAGCCTTGACGGCATCGGCAACTTTTTCTGCTGTCATGTCCGTTGCAACTTTACTGCGCCGCGTGCGATGTGGCCGACGGTCGGAGGAAAGCAAAGGAAAACCGTACGCTGGAATATCTTGCGGCTCCAGTGTGACTGCTTGCTCACGCGAGATGGCGCGAAGCAAGACAGCGCCATGCACTAATGCTTCCACACCCTTTTCCTTGAAAAACTTCGCTGTGGCATCATCTTCAGCGGCTTCATGCGCTTCCGTGTAGGCGCTGTATGCAGACCACACCTGATACAACGCCGTGATCGCTGGGGATTCGCCGCCTGCCAGTTTGGCCGCACCAAATGTACTGTACAGCGCAAATGGGTCCACTTGCGCACTATCACCATCTAGAGCAATGACAAATCCCTTTTTTTCATCGTCTTTAATGTCGGGAAGATGAAGGTATCCATCGGCGCTATTGAACTGAATTAGCATCAGCTCTGCAAGACGTGCTAGGGATTTGTTTTGCTTTGAATCAGGCAATGTCTTTCCGGCGTCCGTCACAGCGGTCGCGTTTTCTTCCTGCTGCTGGTTGTGGTGTTCAGGCTCGGCCAACTTGTTCGCAGCGTCTGCAGACTTCTTTTTCTTCAACTTGGAAGGCTTCACATCCTCGGCTTCTGCCCTGGCCGTCGCCACCGAAGTTGTTGCTGCTGTCGATATTTGTGGTGGTGATGTTGATGCTGCCGCGGAACCTTCTGATGCGCCTTTGCTGTGAATACTGCCGCGTATGTACGGTGCCGGGGCAAACTCCTGTTCCGTTTCTTGCAGCAGCCTTGCAATCTCAGCGTCCTCGTCATCATCAGTGGCAGCGGCAGGGGAAACGGAGTGGGGCTTGTCATTCTTCTTGACATCTTCGGTTGTGGATGTGGCCGACGCAGCGGATTTTGCAGCGCCGTCTCCTGCGTGTTCTGTCACCTCCTCCACAGGCTCAGGGTGTTTGGCGTGTTTTCTTCCGCGAACTCTCGCAGGTTTGTTCGGCTTGGCAGTGTTGTTACCTCCATTCCCATCCTCAGCGGCTGCATCCTCAGCGCGCTTCTTCCTCGGAACGTCCGCCTCGCCTTGTGGATACGTCTCGTCTCCCTCCTTCATCGCCGCGGCGTTGGCGGCGTTGGATGCGGCATCCGCAGTCTCTGGCAGTGCCTGCATACCCGTAATGAGTGGGGCAAGAAATTGCCGGTTGCTTTTATTCGCTGCAAACTCCTCAATGACGGCCTTTTGTATCGTCTTCGTCAGCCACGTGATGACCTGATTTTTTTGTGACTCCACGGGTTGTCGTGCCATTGCCGCGTACGCCTCTTCAAGAATACCACGGGAATAGGCGGATATGGGTACACGCTCGCGGTTTTCATCCCAGCGGCCGACAGTTGTAATCCCCGCCAGTCGCAACGCCCGTGCGTCTTTGCATGCCTGATACCGTTCCGAACTCAGCACCACATCCAGCCACTCCTTTCGGCCATGCAATGCCGCCATCTGTCGCTTAGGGACCATAACGACAAAGTCCAGCATGAAGACATCCTCCACGTCAGTTGCGTCAGGGTCTAACAGCAGCTGCACCATGCCCCGCAGTGTGTCCGTGCGAATGCCACTCCCACTTGCCTGCACGCTCGGGAGCAAAACTTTTTCAATGGAGCACTGGTGCGGAGAGGCGGGAAGTGGGCGTGTGGTTAATGTACACAGCGACGGCGTCGAGGTGGACTGTGCTCGGCTGCCAACGTACAGCCCCGTGTGAGATCCCGCGGCATATCGACAAGAAGCTCCGATACGTCTGAAGGATGTGGGCAGCGGTTTGAATGTACCAATGGCATCTGTGCTGTAAGTTGCATGACTCCACGTGGCTGCCACGACACCACTTGTAAAAGTAGTTTGCGGTACAAAACCGACCGTGATACGTCGGCGCAGCATTTATTCCCTTCACGGGAGACAAAACTACACTTGTTTTGTTTCTTTTTCCTTGTTTTCCCTCTTCCCTTCTTCCGAAGTGGACTCTATGTGTTCTATTTGCCGGGGCAATGAACCCACCCAATTGCTTCCCCCCCCCCACAGACTTCGTTAATGATGTTTCCTTGCGTTGTTTTCTTTGGTGGGTGTGGCACAGTGTTCCGTGGAGTCACACACACGCACACACGCTCTTTGCCTTCTCCCCAGTACTCTCTTCTTCCCGTTACTCCCCACTGCCACACGAAGCAAAGAAGCAAAGAAACAAACAAACAAAAAAAAACAAACAAAAAAAAAGGAAAAAAGAAATAAACAAGGAGACTCAACGCGGCAATCCAATGTGACGACCAACAGGCGCATGCCACAAGACTCCTTTTTTGTTATTATTAAAGATTTTCATTCAGTCACGTCACTGTGGGAGTCTTCAACACGTGTTTATCGTTGATGCACAGGCGTGAATCAACGCAAATGGGAATAATTACGCAAATAACAACAATAGAAAAGGGAATTTTGCTAAGAGACAAAATATTTCCTTCTCTTTTTCCCTTAGGGAAAGGCCCACATCCTCCCTCCTTATTTCTGTCATCATCATGTCTCCTACCACAAGGGTGTGTTAGACGCCACCTCTCGTTGCGGTAGAAATAATGCAGCTGCAGTGCACAATCAAAGCAGCCACCGCTACCATCAAAGCATCCCCGCACAAAAATCTTCCCCACCACTTGTGTGCAATGATGGGCGGCTTAAATGTGATGGGCAGAAGAGGGGGTTTTTAAATAAGTGTATTTCGTCACAACAAATCCTCGCCCGCGGTGGCATCGGCTGTACACATGGGCGGTGAACAACTCAGACACAAGGTGCCTACGCGCTGCCCGCAGCGATGCAAAGGTAACTCCCATGGCGTCAACTCAACGTTTTGCGCCAACGTTTCTTCGCTTTTCATTCTTTGCACGGTATTGTGAGAATAACGATTTGTGGCCTTTTCCACTGTGGCATGTATAATTTCAGCAAGGGGCAGCGTTGCAGACCCCACCAAACGTGCCTCGGCCTTCAATTCATTCAATTCAGAGCCGTATTCAAAGACAGAAAGAAGCATCTTGGCATGGGCGAGAACCACAGCGTGGTGTGGTAGCAACTCAATTTCTGCAACTGCTGCTGCTTCTGTCCCTAATTCTCGGCGTGGCAAGCCCAAATCACCTTTTGAATCAGGCAATTTGAACGACGGCCGCGATGATGTCAATGGCAGCGGTGGCTCCACAGA